TCCTGTGTCCAAAAAGGTTAAAAACTTGCCTTTACTTAAAATATCATTTAGTGTTTCATTTCCTTTAACATTTTTAAGCATTTATTCCCACAGTGGTGCATCCTGTATCTCCCAGCAACGCAGGACGCTGAGCGCAGGAGAATCACTTGATGCCCAGGAGGTTTCGAGCTTGCCCTGAGCCGATGATCGCGCCCTGCTACTTCCAAGCCTGGGTGACCAGAGCGAGACTTTCCGTCTCAAAAAAAAACAAAAAAAAAAAAAAAAAAAAAAATCAAGCCAATCTACGGTGAAGCCTAGTGGGGAATTCTCTGGTCTCCTTAAAAACATTGCTGGGCCAGATGCGGTGGCTCACACCTATAGTCCCAGCAGTTTGGGAGGCTGAGGCAGGCAGATCACCTGAGGTCAGGAGTTCGAAACCACCCTGGACAACATGGCAAAACCTCGTCTCTACTAAAAATACAAAAATTAGCTGGGCATGGTGGCACACACCTGTATTCCCAGCTACTCGGGAAGATGAGGCAAGGGAATAAATGTTAAGGAAATTGAACACTTAAAGGATTTTTAGTTTATTATTTTGGGATGGAGTTTCGCTCTTGTCATCCAGGCTGGAGTGCAGTGGTGTGATCTCGGCTCAGTGCAAGCTCAACCTCCTGGGCTCAAGTGATTCTCCTGCCTCAGCGTCCTGCGTTGCTGGGATTATAGGCATGCACCACTGTTGGGAATAATGCTTAAAATGTTAAGGAAATTGAACACTTAAAGGATTTTTAGTAAAGCAATTTTACTTTTGCACAGAGGGGTGCTTCTCTTTGACCAGTTGCCATGAGAACACATCTGAACAAAGGGGCATGAGAACCTTTATTTCTGATGCAAGTTCTGCTCCTGTACCCTTTCCCCTTCCCCGTTGGCCAGGGTCAGGTCGTACATTCTAAACTAATCCCGGTTGGCTAAACATTTGAACCTTTTTAGATAAGGTGGGCATGTAAGGGAGAGAGGGGAAAGGGGAAGAAGTATCTGCAATGAGCTAGACAGCTAGTTTTTTTTTTTTTTTTTTTAAAATAAGGAAAGGAATGTGAGCTGGTACTGATAATGCCTGGTACTGTGGCATGTCTGGGCATGTAATAAAGGCAGAAAGGAAGAAAAAAGTGAAAAAGGAAAAAAAAAAGGAAAAAGGGAAAAAAAAAGGGGGGGTGGGAGATTACTATGAATTGAAGAATAAACGATTGATCAGGCTAATTTTTGTGTTTTTAGTAGAGACGGGGATTCACCATGTTGGCCAGGCTGGTCTTGAACTCCTGACCTCAAGTGATCCACCGACCTTGGTCTCCCAAAGTGCTGGGACTACCGGCATGAGCCCTCACGCTCCGCTGGATTGCTGATTTTTATTGCTTAGTCTGTGCATAGTGAGGATTTTACTCCCTTCCTGGTGCATTTCCAGAGGACCTGGGTGATGAGATTTTAGTCTACTTCTAATCCTGCCATTTCTACATTTTATGTACTTTCCCCACCTTTTGTTTGTGTAGCTATTGACTTAGGTAATAGTACTAACAGTAATGGCCCAAGATTCTGTTTGTTGTTGTTTGTTTGTTTGTTTGTTTGCTAAGTTTGTTACCTAGAACTAGTCTCTGGCAACCTGGAAGCTGTTTTTCCCTGGGTCACCTTGGGGAAGTGTCTTGGGTGGGAAGAAGACAGAGAGAAGGACAGGGAGAACCCAGGTTACTGATATGCTGGACTTCATCCTCATAATTGCCTTTGTGCCACTAACCCTCCTTACATAAAGAAGCAGGGTGGGCAGTGAACGCATATGCCAGCCAGCTCAGTCCTCATCTGAGATGCCATCACCTTTTGTTGGTAATTTCTACCCTGCAGATCTAGAAGTTATGATGTGCCATAGCCTTTATCTTTTTGGAAGCGCTGTCCCTGAACACACATGAAAAGTTTCTACCTTTTTCCCTTGAACTGCCCTCTGATTCTGTTTGACAGTGTTTGTGGAGGCTAGCATCTATTGACTGCTGTGGTCCTCAGTGCCTGAGCAGGAAAGGCTGGCTCTGGCTGTTTGTGTGTTTGCAGAGAGGAGTGACAGAGGGGGATGCAGTGAGGACAGAGCCTCATTCATTATTGCCAGGATTCTTCCTTCTCACAAGCTATTTTGGAGGAGTGTCAGGGACCTCCCTGCTCTGGCTGCTGACGGTGAAGCCTAGTGGGGAATTCTCTGGTCTCCTTAAAAACATTGCTGGGCCAGATGCGGTGGCTCACACCTATAGTCCCAGCAGTTTGGGAGGCTGAGGCAGGCAGATCACCTGAGGTCAGGAGTTCGAAACCACCCTGGACAACATGGTGAAACCTCGTCTCTACTAAAAATACAAAAATTAGCTGGGCATGGTGGCACACACCTGTATTCCCAGCTACTCGGGAAGATGAGGCAGGAGAATCACTTGAACCTGGGAGGCGGAGGTTGCAGTGAGCCGAGATCATGCCACTACACTCCAGCCTGGGTAACAGAGTGAGACTCCATCTCAAAAAAAAAAAATAATAATAATAATTACTGGTCAGGTGTGGTGGCTCATGCCTGTAACCCCAGCACTTTGGGAAGCCAAGGCTAGCAGATCGCCTGAGGTCAGGAGTTCAAGACCAGCCTGGCCAACATAGTAAAACCCTGTCTCTATTAAAAATACAAAAATTAGCCAGGCATGGTTGCAGGCGCCTGTAATCCCAGCTACTTGGGAGGCTGAGGCAAGGGAATTGCTTGAACCTGGGAGACGAAGGCTGTGGTGAGCTGAGATTGCACCACTGCACTCCAGCCTGGGCATCAAAGTGAGACTCTGTCTCAAAAAAACAACAAAAACTCATTCATTACTGGGGAGGTGTTATGGTAAAGTCGGAAAAGCCTGCAGGGGCTTAGGATCCAAAGAGACCTGAATTCTAGTCATAGCTCTCCTATTTGGTATGTGGGTTTCTTAGGCAGTTTATCCCCTGTGAGCTTCAGATTCCTCATCAATAAAAAGAAGATGAGAATACCTACATTTTGAGTTGTTAAAGGATAAAGTAATATGATTTGTGTAAAGTACTCAACATAATGCCTACGACGTATCGAATGGTTAGTCAATAAACGATAAAGATATGTCTAAAATTTAGCATCCCGGTTGCCGTGTTGCTGCCTTTTCCTAACAGAGCTATGTGGGTCTTAAGCAGATTTGCCGTAATCCAAGGTCTAAAAGGCCTTGTCTTCAACTAATCCACTGATTCATTTATACTAACTCCAGTTTCCCCCTCCTCTCTTACACTCTCTTCCAGTTCTTTTTTATTCTAGAGGTGCTTTTCTCCTATTTGTGCTTTTACCCTTCTTAGAATCTGGTGTCTGTTAAACTTCATCTGCGGACCAAGAAGGTAAAAATCCTGTGTTTCCATAAATCTTCACAAAATGCTTGTTTCATTGAGACTTACTGGATCAAACTTGGACCACGCCAACCTTCGCCTCTTAGAGAAAAGCCATACTTTTGCATTTATTTTCTCAGACTAGAGAATTTTTCTGACCAATGGCTGTAACTATTCCCTAACTTTAGGCTGTGGGACAGAAAGGAGTGTGCCCACACTTGCTGGACTTTGCAAACAGCTTGGGCCACTTTGTGGTATATTTTTAAGCTGTACCATCTCAGGGGCTTCCTGGCTGTAGAGTGAGTGGGCAGAGGGTCAGAACAGCCTGGACCAAAGTTGAGAAGTGGTACAGACCAGGCTGGGATGGGATGAGAAGTGGTACAGATGAGGCTGGGAAGAGAGTGAGAACATTCTAATGTGGACTTTCCTGTAGGGCAAGGCTCTGTCCCTTTTAATTCTCATTAAAATGGCTTTTTTCCCCCTTTAGGAAGGGACAACAAAAATTGGAAGGATTGACTCAGACCAGGAACAGGACATTGGTAAGTGACAGAGCATAGGAGTCCAACGTTTTGGGGCAAGTATTTGTGTCTGAAAGGTTTCTTCAGAGGACTCTGATGATGCTCTCAGAAGGGAATCATTGGCGTATTCAGGGCCTGCTTCTCTTTCCGCTGCTAGGTTTCAGGTCTGGGATGTGGTTAGGGAGAGACCCACACAGTGGGAAGATTTCAGGTATGGGTGGTTTCAGGTCGGCTCTTTCTCTTTCATTATGGTATGAGGTCTTCCAGGTGTTGGATTCTGATCTCACAGAAAGAAATGGAGAGGATGTTTCCCTGGATCGTCCTCCCACCCAAGTGACCACCACCTCTTTTGTAGTCCTGCAGGGTCAGTGGATCGAGAGAGACCACTGCACTATCACCAGTGCCTGTGGTGTAGTTGTTCTCCAGCCTGCCCGTGGGGCCCGCTGTACAGTCAATGGCCGGGAGGTCACTGCCTCCTGCCGTCTGACCCAAGGTAGGACTGTCTACAGCCCTGTTTATCCCAAGACGAGTGATGAACCATTTCCAGTCTCATGGGCCCAGAGAGCTCAGTGAAGCAGGCTTTAAAAACGAGTCACCCAGCCTCTGCACCCTGAAATCTGAAGATTTTCTAATATGATCCTATTCCCATAAACAAGCCTTAATTTCAAAGTCTCGTAATGAAGAATGACTCTGAAATTGGTACCTGTGTTCATTAGCTCTGTCTCCCTAGGAAAGTCTCTGAGCCTCACTTTCCTCATCTATAAAATGGGGATAATAATAGGATCATTGTGAGGATCAAATGAACCTTATAGTTCTTAACAGTGTGCTTGGCACTAAGTAAACACTCATTATCATTATTACTATAATTACCGCTACTGTTATTAATCTATGCAAATTCTGTCTGTCCTTTGATACTGAACTGAGATTCCTCCTCTTCCATCAAGTGTTCCCTGACTACTCCACCTGGAACTCAACTTCCTTTCCCTTGGAGTAGTAGAGTTCTTCCTGTCTGTCTTATTAATTCAAGATGTATGCTGTGAGATACAGAATTAATACATATCAACTCAGCAAAATTATCAGTTATCGAGGGCATGATTTTGTCTCATAGAACAGTACCCTACACACAGTATGTACTCCAAAACATGAGCTGTTGATTGAATTCTCACTTGTCTCTGTGCTGCAGGAGCTGTCATAACCCTGGGGAAGGCACAGAAGTTCCGATTCAACCACCCAGCAGAGGCTGCTGTTCTGCGGCAGCGAAGGCAGGTTAGCAGGGCTGTGTTTTCTAGGTTATTGCTGGCCTCCCTGTTTCCACTTTTTAAAGGAAACACCAAGCTGGGAGAGGTGGAGGTGATGACAGCAGCCTCACTGCGCTTTTTTCCGTGTTCAAGGTTGGAGAGGCTGCTGCTGGTGGTGGCTCTTTGGAGTGGCTGGATTTGGATGGAGATCTCACTGCCTCCCGGCTAGGTCTCTTCCCTTTGCTTTGGAAGGAAGGGTAAGAAATAGCTGCTCATACTGATGTGGAACCTACTGGGTTCACTTCTTAGTCCATTATAGCATGGATCAGGGTGGGGGTGGGGGGTGATTAATGTAGCAGCCAAGGTCTGAATGAGCCCTTGTCTGAATCAACTTGGGCAAGTCATTTGATGATGCTGAACTAGCTGCTAAGTTTGTAGTTGGCAGGGAAGTGGTCTTGGCCCTTGTTCATTTCTTGTTTGGTATTTCAACATTTTCATCACTGAAAGAGGTATTTTATTTGATGTTCCTGTGGCCACCTTTTCTCTCTCCACAAAATTTAACTGTGATGTGTTTGTGGACATCTTTGTTTTGAGCTTACCTTCCTATATACTGCTTTAAATTCTGGCCTACCTGTGTGTGAGCTCATAGTATATGTCACATAGTATATGTGAGCGCATAGCTTCCAGAACATACAGCTTTCTCTGAGTTTTTAAAGATAGTATGTGACTGAGAATCCTTTCTTTCTCATAACCAAGAATCTAGAACTGTGCATAAGAGAGGCAGAAACTAGAGGAATAGGAAAATATCTTTGGGTTCTACCCTCTCATACCCACTTTGCCTGCATTGTAACTATGAGACACTGAGTCAGAGTTCTACATGTGATTGATGGCAACTACTTTTCTACTTCATCCATTTCTACATAAAACACCATTCCCAGATCTAGAAGCCTTGCAGATTTGGTACTGGGAATCCTTCTATTCCTGTACATCAAAGTGACCTCTGCCTTAGAGATTTCCTTTAGAAAATTTCAGCAGGGGACTTGGTGCCTGTGACATCACTGGTGCTGGGAGGCTGCCAAGCACCTTGAGCACAGGGTCTCAGTAGAGTTACGGTGGCCCATAGTTTCTTCAGAAGGATCCAGCAGTTCTTTCCTCAGGCCAGCAGCATTTGATGGCAGATGAAGACAATCTTATGTCTAACCTTGGCAGTGAGGAGTGTTGGATACAGGAGCAGAAGTGCTCTGGTTCAGGGCCGGGCGTGATAGCTCATGCCTGTAATCCCAGCACTTTGGGAGGCCGAGGTGGGCGGATCACAGGGTTAGGAGATCAAGACCATCCTGGCTAACATGGTGAAACCCTGTCTCTACTCAAAAAAAAAAAAAAAAAAAAAAAAAAAAAATTAGCCTGGCATGGTAGCACACACCTGTAGTCCTAGCCACTTGGGAGGCTGAGGCAGGAGAATTGCTTGAACCCGGGAGGCGGAGGTTGCAGTGAGCCGAGATTACGCCACTGCACTCCATCCTGGGTGACAGAGCAAGAGTCCATCTCAAAAAAAGAAAAGCAATGTTTTGCTTCAGGAAACATGAACAGGAGGCAAGTCCTCATGGGAGAGCTGCTCAGTGAAGGATGCTACAACAGAAATTTGATGAAGGATGATCCTAGTGTTGAATAACCGAGAGCTCTGTGGGATGGAGAATAAGGTAGAAGAAGTGACACAAAGTGGATTCAGGGCTTAGGCTGGAGATTTTGTTTTGTCAGAGCGACTTTCCTTCTTTGTAGTGAAGTCATGAAAGTAGCTCCTATTTTAGGTAAGGTTTGTGTTGGGAAGACTCATTGAAGATCTGTTTTTCCCAGAGTTCAGAGGTTTACAGAAAATATCACTGCAACTTAAATAGCTGAGAATGGAAGAGATGCATTGCAGCAGACAAAATTGGTTCATGTCCTGGCTGTGGTACAGAAAAGATATGTGACCTTAGGCAAGTCATTGAACCTCTGAGCCTGTTTCCCTACCTCTAAAGAGACAATACTGCCATCTGTTTTCCAGGGATTCTTGTGATAAAGATTGAAAGAGCGAGTATATATGCATGGTGTGGACACACCCCACAACCCCTATTGCTGCCAGCAAGGCTGCCTCCCTTTCTCTTTCCTGTCTTCCTGTCTCAACCCAGCTCACCTGTCCACCCCAGAGTAGATCATGGTGTTGTGCTCTTCTCCTGCCTTTTAAAAGTCTTCTATGGCTCTCTAGCCCCACAGGCACTGACATGACCTTTCAGACACATAAGCATGTGTCATTTCATTCAGAGAAGACAGGAATTTCAGAATCACGCCCTCTCCCACACACTGCCTCCACTCTTGAGCCACCAGCTCTAGGAGCCCTGGGCTGGTCCTGCCCAGCTACCGTAGCCAGCATCTGTGCCAATCCATGCTGGAGGTGGTGTGGTGTGGTGCTCAAGTCTGTGATTGGGCAAAGGGACCCGGGAGAGGAACTTGCACGACTAGAGAAAAATATAAATTGTCAGCTGGGCTCCCAGTCTGGATTTGTGGTTGTGTGTCTACGAGTCTCTCCCTCTGCCCCTGGATGGGGTTGGCTCCAAAGCCTCCCTTTATCCCAGGCTTCCTTTCCCTCATTTATCTCTGGAGCAGCATTCATGAGGAGCCTGCAAAGCTGGAGCTGGCTCCAGAGCCAGGGGAAATCGACCAGTCTGTCTTTCTTTTCTCCTTGCAGCAGTAATCCAGACCAGAGAGGAATTTGTCTTTGAATACCGTTGCCTGTGTTCTTGGCATTTTCCCATTTGGAATTTTAGGGGGTTAACCTTAAGTGCCTAGAGCCTGGGAGCCACTGTTGCTGCTGCCGCTGCCACCACTGCTGCCACTGCGGCTTTAGTAAATAGATGCTGCTGCAATCTGCTGCAGAAGCTGCCAGACCCCGAGACTGGGGGAGGGCTGTGAGAGAAGCAGCAGGAGGGTGCAGTGGAGTCCTCACAAGCAGGTGACTAGGCAGCAGCCGGGGGATACTGGAGCCACCAGAGATGAAGGGCAGTCACCTGATAAAGACAGAGGTCCCTTGGCTGGCAGGTAAATGAAGACTTGCCCTTTGTAATCTACCCAGACATGTAGCATAAGGTTGCTATTTTCTTTTTCACCTGCTTTCTGGGAACTTGACAAAATGTGCTTAGCAGAGGGGCCATTCTGTCTGATCGTGTGGCCTCCTGGGTGAACGCGCTGCATCTATAGAAACCACAGCAGACAGCCTCTCCTTACAGGTCCTATTGCTCTGCAGGAAACAATATCATAGCTGCCACTTTCTTAGGTGAACGGTAGGGAGCGCCCCTTCTAGGGAGAAGCAAATTGTAAATCTGAAGGTTGAGGAGAAAGCCAGGCAAGGAAGCTGAGTAATCTCAGAGTTCAGATAAAGATCCTGTCTCAGCCTCCTGCATCTGGTGGTCTGTGGGTCTTAGCTGGGTTTGTCTAGGACCCTTTGATGGGCTCATGTTTGTAATTCAGCCATTTCTTTAGTCAGACACAATTTGGAGCAGTAATACAAGCATGATACATATAGATGTATGTTTCCTGTTAACTGCTTTTTCTATTTGTTTGGCATTAACAAGTTTCTATTCCAGTTGCTATCCTGAGCCTCCGCGTAACACAGTACCCTTCCTCTTTCTGTATGCTCCACTGTGTATATCTGGCCTTTTGCCCACAGCAATCAGTGCTAGTCTTCTGAGCACACGCACTCAAGTGTCTGGACATGTTCTAGTCTTTGGACCTGTTGCAGATTGAATGACCTCATAGCCTCCTTCCCTGGGAAGGAACTGTGGTTGTGTGAGCTCCCACTCCCATTCCTCCGGGCTATTCCACCTATCACTCTTCACCCATCCATCTTTCACTGTCCTCCAAAGGCTGCATTATGAAATCTTAATTTCTTCCAAGGCAGGGGCGGCAAACTTTTTCTGTAAAAGGCCAGATAGTATTTTAGGCTTTGTGGGCCATATGGTCTGTGCTGCAACTACTCATTTTTGCCAAGGTGGTGCAAAAGCAGCCCTAGACAGTAAATAAATGGGTGTGGTTGTGTTCTAATAAAACTTTATTAATAAAAACAGGCAGCAGACCAAATTTGGACTCACGGGCTTTCATTCGTGGACCTCTTCTGTGATACCCATGTGATTTCATTCTGCTGTACGAAGTGGTAGATCTCCTAAAAAGTGGTTCCCTTACAGCATACTGGTCATACTGCCTGAGATATGGTTCCAGCATCAAACCAATAAGCTTCTCCAAGCTTCCAAGTCATGACATCCTGGGATTGTAGGGAAGGCTGGATAAAGCAGGCTTGATTCTAACTTTTTTGTCAGCCTCTGGCAGAATCTGACTGTTCCCAGCCACTCCCATTCTGTGCCCATCCTGGGGTATCCATACAGTTGGCTCTTTTAAATACCTAAATAACAGGGATGAAGATACCCTGCAGAAAAAGCATTTGAGGTCCTTGCATGACCCCAGGGAAAGGTCGGCAAGTGAGTAGAAGCTGTCAGTTTCCAGAGTAAGCCTCTGAATCATCTATGGTCATATAGGAACCTGGTGGCAGAGTAAGGCATGACTAAAATCTAGAATTTTTTAGGCCGGGCATGGTGCATAGTGGTTCATGCCTGTAGTCCCAGCACTTTGGGAGGCTAACATGGGGAAATCACTTGAGGTGAGGCGTTTGAGACCAGCCTGGCCAACATGGTAAAACCCTGTCTCTACTAAAAATACAAAAATTAGCCAGGCGTAGTGGCACATGTCTGTAATCCCAGCTACTTGGGAGGCCGAGGCAGGAGAATCGCTTGAACCCGGGAGGCAGAGGTTGTAGTCAGCCAAGATCTTGCCACTGCACTCCAGTCTGGGTGACAGACAGAGTGAGACCTTGTCTCAAAAAAACAAAAAAAATCTAAAATTTTTTAAAGCTGTTTATTATGGAAGACTCCAAATACAACACAAATTATCAACTCATGGCTAATCTTAGTTCTTTTATATCCATACTCACTCTCCCTCATTCCCTCTCACTGGATCTAGACAAATTCTTGACATATTTCACCAGTAAATGCTTCAGTCTATATCTCTGAAAGGTGTGGTAGAGTCTAAAACTCTTGGATCCTATTCCAGGGCTTATTCACTGAAAACAGCTCTCAAGTGGAGACCAGCTGTGTTTTGGGTCACACACACAGGCATAGTGTGTGTGTAAATTATCAGCTGGCTTTTGCTACCAGATCACAGAGGATTTCTGTTTCAGGGAATGGAGATGCAGTAACAATCTCTGAATATGTAGGAGAGAGTGTTTCTGGAGCTTCTGCTTTACTGAGTGTTTCCAACATATTTTTAGCAGACACCTTTTGATTCTTTTTAAAGGACCAAACTTCTGAATTTAGCGAAAATGTTTTTGTGTCTTTTTAAAAAGAACAATTTTCCTGGTGATTTTCCTTATCTACAGTGGATCTGTGTTTCTGCTAAACCCACAACTCTAAGAATACGTCAGTTTAATGACCATTCTCCCCTCCTGCACTGTGACATCATGACCTGCCTGTGACACCATGCCTGTTTGTCCAAGGTTGCCAGAAGTCCAAAGCACTCTCTACCCTGTTGATTGCAGGGGCTCTCTTGGAAGGCCTTATACTGCTGTCAGTTTGTCCTGAGCTTGGTTTGCATTTCCTGTTGGGTAACCTCAGCTGCTTCTGTGACAGGAGAGCACTTGAAGAGCAATGTGACGAGGACCGTCAGCCACCGAGGGATGGAGAGACATCCCACAGGGCCCAGATTCAGCAGCAGCAGAGCTACGTGGAGGATTTGAAGCATCAAATCCTAGCAGAAGAGATTCAAGCTGAGAAGGAACTGGAATTTGACCAAAGTTGGATTAGCCAGCAGATTAAAGAAAGTAGGTGTCCACCACTTAATGTGTTTGCCTGACCTCCTTATTCTTTCATTTTCATGCTTCCTCAGCCTTCTGTATTCTCTCTTTGGTTTTCTTTGTGATATGATGGAATCTTTGGTATTAGATGTTCTCTTTTCTTTTAGACACCAGAGGTTCTTATAAGAAGAGGGCTGGAAGCAAGAATAAGGAAGCTAATTTCCTTATTGTCCTCAGAATTATGGACCTACTACTTACCACTCCTCATGCTAATGTGTCCATACATACTGCCCGCCCTAAATGTGCCCCACTGGTTGTGTGCTAGGCCTTTGAGGGTCTTCATTCCCCTGACCTGTGGTAAGAGGGGCCCTGTTAGCCCTGCAAGCCTCATCCTGCCCACATCACCGTTGGCCAGGCTCTTCCTCCACACAGGTCCAGCCATGGCGGGTGTCCGTGAGTCCAGGCAGGCCACAACGCAGAAAGGAGAGGCCTGAACCTTCCTCTCTGGTGTTTTTGGTTCCCGACCAAGCCGTGTTCTGCTCCAGAAAGAACCTGGCTTGCCAGCTGCACAGCACAGCAAGAAGACCATGTAGCCCAACCAGAAGAAAGAAACTTGAGGCATCTTGGCACTTGATCCGGCTTTCCAGACAGATCCCTGAGGGGGGGGGAAAAAAATCACCATCCCATTTTCCCCAAAGCAGAAAAGGTGGCTGCCAACGCAGCTCCCATGCGGAGACACAACTCTCGGCAGCCAGAGCGATGTCCGGCGGCAAAAGTCTCAATTCCCCAGAGGAAATCATCAAAAAGCAGAGCTGCCCTGCGAAGGGCCCCCCAGAAGAAAAGACTGGGGGGGAAGCAGCTCAACGACATTGTGCTGGCCTCCAGGAGAAACAGCCCACCCCCAGGACCCCCATACCAGGTCCGCAGCCCTGATGCACAGTCACCGCTCAATTGTGACAAATTGACGAGTTGCACTTCTTTGAGCCCCCCAAAGGGCTCTGCAAGCAAGCACCGTGCCCCAGCTTACCAAGGTAGACCAATATTGTCACCTGAAGCACCTTGGTTAAAGTGTACAACCTTGTTGCCCAGGGTAGTGTTCTGTTTCCCCATGCCATCATTTCTTCCAGTCCTGTAAATGGAAGGATTGTATAGTCTCTCGCTCCTCATGCTGTTTCTGCTTCTGGCTCTCCTTACTTCCTTCTGGGTAATCTGTAAATTAGGCCATTCCATCCTTCCTTACCCCTCTCAAGCAGCAATTCTTGCTTCTTTGGTAATATCTTAGGAATAAGGATCTCGGCCTCATTTTTCATCTGTTCCTTAGACCTGGACTATCCATATATGTTTCTTTGTAAGTCATACCTCAGTCTTGTCATGCCTGTAACCAGACTCTTGACTCCTACACCACCTCCCTCCCTGACCCACCACATCAAGTGAGCTTTCTGACCCCACCTCCCACCTGGTGAGTAAGCTCTCTTTTTGACTCCCAGGTTCAAGTTGGGACCTTCCTTCTTTTCTCCATTACCCCTTATATGCCATCAAGGCCGGGCTGTATTATCTCCCAGACTCGTTGGAGCAAGGGTTTCTGTCTTATATCTCTTTATATCCTCAGGACCTAGCACAGGTTCTCGTCCATGGGAGGTTCACAATTAACGTCTATTGGTGTTATGTTTGCTCACCTCTCTGGTCTTTAAAGTACTCAGTGGGCTTTTTAAAAATTTAATATGAAAAAAATTTAAACATGCCACGTTGGAAGAATAGTATATGTATCACTGATACTATTCAGCGATTATTAGGCTTTACACACTTGCCTACCTTCCCATTTTCTGAAGTTTTTTAAAGCAACTTCTAGACACCTTGTCCCTTTAGTTCTGCATTTCTAAGTGTATACTTCTAAAAAAAATGGACTTTTCTTGTAACCACAGTGTTGTGACAGCTACCAAAATTAAGATTATTTGATGTATTCTAAAACCTAGGCCATGTTCAAATTTCTCTGCTTGCCTAAAACTATTTACAGTTTTCTTTTTTCTCTCTCTCTTTTTTCTCTAACATGGTTCAGCATTAAAATGGTTGGTTTTTCAAATCAAGATCCAAGCAGGATTTACATGCTGCATTTGTTTGTTGTTTTTCAGGTTTCTTTTAACCGTTCTTCTTGTTTTATTTGTAATCATTATTTTTACTACTTCATATTATTGATAATTACAGTTCTGTAGAATATGTATCACTCTATAGATTTATCTTTTGCTTCCTTATAATACCATTTAAATTGTTCCTCTATTCCTCATATTGCCTATTAATAGGAAACTTTCCCTGTAAGTGTGATTAGCTTCAGTTCAGTTTTTTTTTTTTAATTTTGTTTTTTGAGACGGAGTCTTGCTCTGTCGCCCAGGCTGGAGTGCAGTGGTGCGATCTTGGCTCACTGCAAGCTCCGCCTCCCAGGTTCACGCCATTCTCCTGCCTCAGCCTCCCGAGTAGCTGGGACTACAGGTGCCCGCCACCACACCTGGCTAGTTTTCTTGTATTTTGTAGTAGAGACGGGGTTTGACTGTGTTAGCCAGGATGGTCTCGATCTCCTGACCTCGTGATCCACCCATCTCGGCCTCCCAAAGTGCTGGGATTACAGGTGTGAGCCACCGCGCCCAGCCACTTCAGTTCAGTTTTTTAATAAGATGAAGAAATTGAGGAACAGTGTGGGCCTGGAGCTTCTTGGAGAGCTAGGACTAGTGTCCACAATTTCCTTTAATACCTAGGGAGCTTTTCTCTGGCTCTGAAGTCAATAGGAGACAGTGACATTGGCCTTGTTTTTAACCTCCTTCTGTTCACAGGAAGTAGTACCTCACGTCTTCTGAGATAGCTTTCCTTGTCTTCACAGCATTTTCCTAAGTTGGGATCCCTCTACCACATTACCACCTATGCCTGACCCTACTCACCAAACATCAGAGAAAACATCATCAGAAGAGTGTTTGTCACAGGCTGCTTCCTACCCTCCAAGGATAGGGTGTCTCCGCAAGAACGGCCTGCATTCCTCAGGCCATGGGCAGCCCTGCACAGCCAGAGCAGCCTTGTCCAGGAAGGGAGCCTCAGCTCCAGACACTTGGCTCACCGTGAGTCCCAACTCTGTTGGCATCCAGGACATGGAGAGGGTGGGTAAGCAGCCCCATCAGATGGTGATCCAGGGCTTAGCATCTCTGAGGAAATCAGCTAACAAGCTAAAGCCAAGGCATGAGCCAAAGATCCTCACCTCTACTACCCAGACCAGAGGGGCAAAAGGACTAGCAGACCCTAGCCACACACAAGCTGGGTGGCGAAAAGAAGGTAACCTTGGGACCCACACGGCTCCTAAGGGAGCCAGTTGCAATTCCCCATATCCTCATGGACCCAGGCAGACTGCTGGGCATGGAAAGGCAGTCAAGACTTTTTGGACAGAATACAAACCACCTTCTCTAAGCAGGGCATCAAAAAGGCATCAGAGGGTTCTGGCAGCTAGGGTCAGAAATATTACCAAAAAGTCCTCTCACTTGCCTCTTGGCAGTCCTTTGAAGAGACAACAAAATACGAGGGACCTAGACACCATGGCCCCACTCACAGATTTTAGTCCAGTAGTGGATCATTCAAGAGAAGACAATGATTTTTCTGACTCAGATAGCAACTACTCAGTGGATTCTCTCTCGTGTGTCTATGCCAAAGCGCTGATAGAGCCGCTAAAGCCAGAGGACCCTCAGGACAGGAAGTGGGATTTCCCAGAGCCAGAGAACTCTGAAAGTGACGACAGCCAAATATCTGAGGACTCACTGGCTGAGAAGAGGTACCAAAGCCCACAAAACAGGCTAGGGGGAAATCATCCCACCAACCACCATGGCCACCCCAGGACCAGAGCTAGAGCTTCTGTGAGGGGCTTCACTGCACCCTCAGACAGTGACCTACTTGCTCAAACTCACAGGAGCTTCTCCTTGGATAGCCTGATTGATGCTGAGGAAGAACTAGCGGAAGATCAGCAAGAAGAACCTTTCCCTGGTTCAGCTGATGAGATACCCACAGAGACTTTTTGGCACCTGGAGGACTCCAATCTGCCTGTAATGGACCAAGAGGCAATATGCTGGCTTGGTCCCATCAACTACAGAACAGCAGCTAGGCTGGATGCCGTCCTGCCAATGAGCAGTTCGTTTTACCTTGATCCTCAGTTCCAACCCCGTTGTGAGCTCCCACCCCATTGTGAGCAGGCAGAGTCACAGGGAGAGCCAAGCTACTCTGAACAGGCCAACTCTCTCCAAGGCATGCAGCTTTCAAGAGAGAGCCCACTGATGTCCATGGATTCCTGGTTTTCCTGTGATTCTAAGATCAACCCCAGCAGCCCCCCAGGAATAGTGGGTTCTTTATGTCCAAGTCCTGATGTGCAGGAATTTCACCACTGTAAGGGGGAGAGACCTGGATACTGGCTAAATACTGAGGAACTAAAGCCATCAGATGCAGAAACGGTTCTGCCATATAGCTCCAAACTGCACCAAGGCAGTACTGAGCTGCTCTGCATTGCAAGAGATGAGCACACAGCCTCTGCTTCTGATACGTCGAGGCTGTCTCTCTGGGGAATTCAAAAGCTTATTCAACCAGGAGCTGATGGCACTTTTCAGGGCAGATGCATCCATGACACGACCCAGCAGGGCAGCTCTGAAGCATCCCACAATTCTAGTGTATCAAACGTGCTGTCTGCCTCTGCCACCACATTGACTCATGTAGGCGGCACCCACGAAAGGGACTGGTCTGCCCTTCAGCAAAAGTACCTCCTTGAACTCTCTCGCCCTGTTTTGGAGGCCATAGGAGCGCCCAGGCCAGCTTTCCCCTACCTTGAGGAAGACTCTGGTTCCCTGGCCCAAGCTTCTGGCGAAGGAGGAGATACTCCATTGCCAGTTGGCCCTAAGGTATCTAGCAATCTGAATCTCAACAACTTTCCAATCCATCTGTCCAGAATCAGGCGTTTGAGGGCAGAGAAAGAACAGGACAGTTTAAATGCCAAATTAGAAGGTGTTTCAGATTTCTTTAGCACTAGTGAGAAAGAGGTGAGTTATGACGAAACTTATTCAGCAGACTTAGAATCATTGGCTGCCTCTCGATCTACAAATGCACAGTTCTTTGCAGTAGGGAACACGATACCAGATTCCATGACAGAAGCATGTGAAGTCAAGCAGAACAACTTGGAAGAATGCCTTCAGAGTTGCAGGAAACCTGGACTGATGACTTCCTCTGATGAGTATTTTTTCCAGAAGAACGCTTGTCACAGTAATGTCACTACAGCCACGAAAGCAGACCATTGGCCCCAAGGCTGGTCTCCTCTCAGGAAAAATAGTGCAGTCCAGCCAGGGCAATTAAGTCCTGACAGCCAGTACCCACTAGAGGAAGAGAAGACAGATTGCCAGGAGAGCTCTAAGGAAGCAGTTAGAAGACACATAAATATCTCCTTTGCCTTTCCTTCAGGTCCAGAGCTATACCTTCACTCTGCTGCCTGGAATCCATTGTCATCTTCCCTGCAGCCCCCACTCTTGGAAACATTCTATGTGACCAAAAGCAGGGATGCCCTGACAGAAACTGCCTTAGAGATTCCAGCTTGCAGAGAAGTAAGGGTACCTTCCCCACCCCCCAGGGAAGCCTGGGGCTTTGGTCACAACCGCCAAGCTCTCCAAGATGCTTATTTGAAGAATAATTTGCCAGTGCTGTTACAAAACCAGAATTCTAAGGTTGCCTCATCTCAGCAGGTCACAGCTGAGATACCAGTAGATCTGAATACGGGGGAAGTCATCAGAGAATCAGGTAAATGCCCTGGAAATATTACAGAAGAAAGCCGTGATTCAGTTTATTCTTCTGTTACTCAGAACAGACATTTTCTCCCCTCTACCAGCACAAAAGTATGTGAATTTGAAAATCAAGTTGGAATTTTAAATAAACACAGTTTTCCAGCACTTGAAGGAGGAGAGGTCACTGCTCAGTCCTGTTGCAGTGTTTCCTCAGACAGCACTGAGTCTGGGAAGCCTCTCCTCCTCTTTCTCGAATCTGAGGCATGTGAGGAAGAAGAGCTGGATCAGAATACAGTTCTGAGGCAGACCATCAATGTAGGCCTTGAGAAAGACTTGCCATGGGAAAGTGCTGTTTCTTTGAAGTCCAGATCAGTACATCATAGAGTAAGCAGCCCAGGGATGGTGGCCCAGGATGAGAGTCCAACCCCTAAGTGGGAAGGGAAAAATGAAACTAGGCTTCTTGAAAAAGCTCTTCATCCCAAAGATAGCTCAGAAGAGTTTAAGCTTCCAGGCACAAAGCCTGCATATGAGAGGTTCCAGTTAGTTACATGCCCTCAGGAAAGAAACCCTGGTGAATGCAAGGGTCCCGGAAAGTCACAAGAAATGTTAAATCCCAACGGAGAACCTTCTGAAAAGAAACAGAATAAAAGAGTTAATAATACTGATGAAATGGCTAGGCTAATTAGGAGTGTAATGCAGCTGGAAAATGGCATCTTAGAAATTGAATCTAAGCAGAATAAGCAGGTTCATGCTTCCCACACACCAGGTGTCAATAAGGAGTCAGTGTTCCAGGACCAGAAGGAGCAGGAGAAGACTGACCATGCCCTTAGGCCAGACAGCTCTGGAAACCTTTTGACCTCTAAGGATCAGCCATCTTCTCCAAGACAGACAGATGCTACTGTCTTTAGGGATAGTGAAGCTGGAGAGATGGAGGTTAACAGCACTGGGAACCATCCCCAGGTCCAGAAAATCACCCTGAACCCCTTCAGGTCAAGGGAAGGTGTACAAGAGAGTGGACCTGTGAGAGAGCACACCCACCTAGCTGGATCAGACAGACTTGCCAGGGATATTTTTGAGTCTTTAGAGAAACACACAACTTGCAGAGAGTTCACCAACACTTCTTTTCGCCCACAGAGAATGAAAGCCTTGACTAGAGCTCTGCCATTGCAGCCCAGGCTAGAGAGGTCTTCTGAGAATAATGGCCAGTTGGTAAAAGCATCAGCAAGTCTCAAAGAGCAGCCTTGGGGCTTAGGAAGTCTTGAGGAATTGGAGACTGTGAAAGGTTTTCAGGAAAGCCAAGTTGCTGAACACTTAAGTAGTTCCAACCAAGAGGAGCCAAAAGCTCAAGGTAAAGTTGAAGAAATGCCTATGCAAAGGGGACGCAGCCTACAGGAAGAAAATAAAGTGACTCACAAACTTCCTAGTCTCAGCCAGCTTTGTAGGGACACATTTTTCAGCCAGGAAACTATCAGCCCGTTACTAAGCTGGACCGAATTCTCTACAGCTCCTCCTCACCAAGACCTGAGTAATACCTTGCCCTTGAATTCTCCAAGGTGGCCAAGAAGCTGTCTTCATGTACCTGGTGTTCTAGGCATCTCTTCACTTGACTGTGTGCTGGATCTCACAATGTTGAAAATTCATAACAGTCCCTTGGTAACTGGAGTACATCATCAGGACCAGAGTACAGAGACCAGAGGCCACAGCCCTGAAGGAAATGTTAGAGGGGGTTCCTCTGAGGCACACACTGCCTGGTGTGGGTCTGTGCGATCCATGGCCATGAGATCTCATAGTCAATCTGGTGTACCAGAGAGCATTTCTCTGGGGACAGAGGACAAGATCTCAGCAAGCACCAGCCCCCAAGACCATGGAAAGGACCTCAGAATCACCTTGCTGGGTTTCAGTACCAGCGAAGATTTTGCTTCTGAAGCCGAGGTGGCTGTGCAGAAAGAAATAGGAGTCAGTTCACTGAACAAGGTCTCTAGCCAGCCTGAAAAGAGGGTCAGCTTCTCCTTGGAAAAGGATAATGACCAAGCCAGCAAGCCAAGGCAGAAGGCAGAGAAGGAGACTGAGGACCTTGGACTGACCAGCAGTGTTTCCTTAGCACCTGTTTCCCTGCCGAGGGTGCCCAGTCTGGAGCCTAGGCTGTTGGAGCCCTCTGACTATGCATCCATGTGTCTGGCCATCTTGGAGGAGATCAGACAGGCAAAGGCCCAGAGAAAGCAGCTTAATGACTTTGTGGCCAGAGGCACAGTCCTTTCTTACTGTGAAACTTTACTAGAACCTGAATGTCCTTCAGGGGTTGCTGGCGGGCCTCAGTGTAAACAAATAGAACTGTCATCATCAGACCAGACCAGGAATGAGGGTGAAGCACCGGGATTTCATGTGGCATCTCTATCTGCTGAAGCAGGGCAGACAGATCTGTCAACTGATGAGAGGAAAGTCCAGGCCACACCTCCGTCTGCAGACAGCTTTCAATCTCTGCCCAATACGGAAACTGACAGACAGCCGTGGGATCCTATGCAGGCTTTCTCCCATGCTGCCCCTGCTCTAGACAAAAAACATTGTGCTGGAGAACTGAGGCAGTTCGCGGGAACAAGTGAACCGTTTATATGTCACTCTGATTCTTCTGAAATCCTAGAGAAAAAGAAAGATGCAACCAGAACGCCTTCCTCTGTTGATCCTTTGGCCCCAGACAGTCTTCTTTCTTCAGCATCTGTGGAGGGGGTCAGGAGGGTAGTATCAAAGCAGGTAGTGGCTGCCTTATCTTCTCAGGCCCCTTGTGATGATCCTAGAGTGACTCTGCATGAGCTAAGTCAGTCAGTTCCGCAGGAGACCGCAGAGGGCATACCCGCTGGCAGTCAGGACAGCAGCCCAGAGCATCAGGAACCCAGAGCTCTAAACACCACATATGGAGAAGTTTCAGGTAATTCGTTAGTGACTGCACAGGAAGAAAAAACAGCCCATTTTGAAAGTCAGTCTGTGACCTGTGATGTTCAGAATTCTACAAGTCCCTCAGGGCCTAAGCAAGACCATGTCCAATGCCCTGAGGCTTCCACTGGCTTTGAAGAAGGTAGGGCAAATCCCAAACAAGATACCGTTCTGCCTGGAGCTCTGACAGGGGTTGAACTGGAAGCTCCCACACAGCAGTGTGTGAAGTGGAAGGAGAGTGTTGGGTCTGGGTTGACAGAAATCTGCAGGGCTGGCAGCAAACATTCCAGACCAACTCCACTGCCAGATCAAAGACCAAGCCCAAATCCTGAGGGAATTGGAGAGGGAGCCCCATGCAGATATCCAAGGGAAGCTTTACATGGCCCTGTCTTCTCAAGGAACCCTGAAGGCAGCAGGACTCTCAGTGCGTCTAGAGGAAAAGAGAGCAGAACTCTTCCTTGCCGACAGCCGTGCAGTTCTCAACCTGTTGCTACTCGTTCTTATTCCTGCCATTCCTCTACTTTACTGTGTTGTAGGGGTGGTGACCTGGGGAAGGAGCCTTTCAAGGCTGCTCTACGTACTGTCTACCCACCCTGTGGAGTACCTTCTAGGGTCTATGAAATGGATGAGACAGGAGAGACCTCTTCTAGGGGACCTGATGTGCTCTTGACACATGGCCTTGAGCCCAAAGATGTTAATAGGGAATTTGGTATAACAGAGAGCAGCACTTGTGAGCCCTCTACTGTGGCTGCTATCCTATCTGGGGCTCAAGGCTGCAGATCCCCTTCTGCCTCTGATGTGAGGAGGACAAGTTCCTTCAGCCACTCAGCTACTGATGGAAGCTTAGGATTAATAGGCGCTCCTGAGAAAAAGGTTGCTGAGAACCAAGCAAGCACAGAACTTGAGGCTACCTCTTTCCCTGCAGGCATGTACTCTGAGCCACTGAGGCAGTTTAGGGACAGCTCTGTAGGTGACCAGAATGCACAGGTGTCTCAAACCAGTCCAGAACCACCTGCAACAACTCCGGGACCACACACCCTGGATTTAAGTGAAGGGTCTGTGGAGAACAAGTTGGTGGCAGAGCCACGACATGAATGTTTTGAAAATACCACCAGATGTTTTTTGGAAAAGCCACAATTTTCCACTGAATTGAGAGATCACGATTGCTTGGATTCCCAAGCCAAGTTTGTAGCAAGGTTAAAACATACCTGCAGCCCCCAGGAAGACAGTCGCTGGCAGGAAGAAGAGCAGCACAGAGACCAGGCTTCAGGTGGTGGTGAAGGCTTCACCCAGGGTATGAATCCGCTTCCTTCTGATGAAGGTGGCTTAGATAGCTGTCAGATTTTAGATATTAGGAGACAGGAGGTGGCTGTGGCCAAGCCTCCTGTGTCCAAGATTTTATCACAGGGCTTCAAAGACCCAGCCACTGTGTCCTTGAGGCAAAATGAAACACCACAGCCTGTTTCTCAGGGGCCTGGCAACCTCTATACTGGCAGAGAGCAGCCAGCCCTCAACCACAGGGGCTCACTTCCCGTGACTGCAATCTTCTCTGGCCCCGAACGCTCCAAGTCCTCCCCCACACCACAGATCTCAGTTGTCAGCTCTTCTCGTTCTCTTCAGGAGCTAAACTTGAGTGTGGAGCCTCCTTCCCCTACAGACGAAGATACACAGGGGCCTGACAGATTGTGGAACCCACACCTCAGGGGCTATTCCACAGGAAAGTCAATGGCAAGAACATCTCTGCGGGCTGAGGACAGCAATCAGAAAGCCTCATCTCACTTGGATGATGGCACTACTGATCACAGGCCCCTGAAGCCTGCCACCCCTCCTTATCCAGTGCCTTCTACCCTCTCACACATGCCAACCCCTGATTTCATGACCAGCTGGATGTCTGGTACTTTGGAACAGGGCCAACAGGGAAAGCCAGAGAAACTGGGTGTCCAGGTTAGGCCAGAAAATTGGTGCTCTCAGATGGACAAAGGAATGCTGCACTTTGGCTCCAGTGACATCAGTCCCTATGCCCTGCCCTGGCGTCCAGAGGAGCATGCACGTATCGGCTGGAAGCAATATGTTTTTGGCAGTACGGTCGATGTTTCCTGTAGCCAGAAACCCCAGGGCCTGACACCATCAAATGTGGCCCGGTGCTCCAGCATGGACAATGGCCTAGAAGACCAGAACTCCCCCTTACACTCTCACCTCAGCACTTATGCCAATATTCGCGATCTGTCAACCACACACAGCAGCACTGAGAATGCCCAAGGTTCAAATGAGGCCTGGGAAGTATTCCCAGGGAGTTCTTCAGTTTCTTTAGGAGACCCCCACATCCTGACGAGCTCTGAAGGAGTAGCCCCCACTTTAGGTCATGACAGAAGACCCCAGTTCAGGGGCCCTTCTGGTGAAGCAGACTGTCTTAGGAGTAAGCCCCCCTTGGCTGAAGGAAGTGCTGCAGGTCCAGCGGATGAGATTATGCTGCCATATCCATCAGGGGCAGGCTGCCCTGTGGGACAGACCAGGATGAACATATTCGAACAGGGCACACAGACCCTCGGCAGCAGGTGCCACCAGAGCAGCACTGACATCTCCTTTGCTCAGCCTGAAGCTACTGCGGCATCAGCCTCTGATCTGGCCTCATGGACCAGCATGCACAATCTGTCTCTCCACCTCTCACAGCTCCTGCACAGTACCTCAGAGCTGCTTGGGAGTCTCTCCCAGCCAGGTGTGGCCAGAAGGGAGCAGAACACCAAGAGGGACATCCCAGATAAAGCCCCACAGGCCCTGATGATGGATGGCTCTACTCAGACCACTGTGGATGAAGGCAGCCAGACTGACCTCGCCTCACCCACCCTGCGCCTCCAGGCTTCAGAGGCCGAACCTCAGGGGGCCAATGTGATCCTTGAAGGGCTGGGTTCACATACCTCAACTCTGTCTCAAGAAGAGGGCGATGTGCCAGGGGTAGCTCAGAAGAGAGAGGCAGAGGAAACAGCACAGAAAATGGCACAGCTCCTGTATCTTCAGGAAGAAAGCACTCCCTACAAGCCCCAGAACCCTTCAACACCCTCATCCCACTTGAGGTTTCAGAAAGCCCCGCTTAGGCAGCATCTTCCTTCTGTGGGCCCCTCAGTTTCTGATGCTTTCCTGCCTCCCAGCTCCCAGCCAGAGGAGTCGTCTTGCATAGCTGTCAGCAGTCCCAGTCCCAGCCCCTGTCATTCCCCAGGGCTTCTTCCCAGTACTTCCGAGTACCCTGGGGACCCTAGGGTCCAGAAGAAGCTGGGTCCCACCAGCGCTTTGTTGGTGGACAGGGCCTCCTCCCCAATCCTCACTCTTAGTGCCAGCACCCAAGAGCTGGGTCTTCCCCCAGGCTCTTTGACCCTCTCAGCCCCTTCAGCTCACCCTGTTGAAGGCCACCAGAAGCTTGACTCCAGCCCAGACCCTGTTGGTGCCCCGAGGACTCCGATGGATAATTATTCCCAAACCACTGATGAGTTGGGCGGCTCCCAGAGAGGTGGAAGTGTGTTACAGAGGAGTAACGGGAGGTCCTTCCTTGAGTTACACTCCCCGCACAACCCACAACAGAGTCCAAAACTCCAATTTAGTTTCTTAGGGCAGCACCCTCAGCAGCTTCAGCCCAGTACCACGATTGGGGTCCAAAGTAGACTGCTGCCACCACCACTGAGGCACAGGAGCCAGACGCTGGCCGACAGCTTTGTGCCTGAGGAGGTGGCTTCCCCGGAGCGTGGCCCACTGAGCGGTAAGGAGCCAAGTCAGTGGCGGAGCAGGACAGAAAATGGAGGTGAGAGTTCAGCATCTCCAGGGGAACCACAACGCACTCTGGACCGACCTTCTTCATGTGGAGGCCTCCAGCACCTCAGCCCCTGCCCTGTCTCTGAGTTGACTGATACTGCAGGGCTCCGAGGTTCCGCCTTGGGCCTCCCTCAGGCCTGCCAACCCGAGGGGTTACTGTGCTCCAGTTGCCAGATGTGCATGGCCCCTGAGCCCCAGCACCACAGTCTGAGGGACCTCCCGGCGCATAACAAATTTAGTAACTGGTGTGGAGTTCAGAAGGGCATGGACATGACTGAGGAGGAGCTGGGGGCCAGCGGTGATCTCAGCTCTGAAAAGCAGGAACAGAGCACCCCACAACCTCCTAATGACCACAGCCAGGACCCTGAGTGGTCCCAGAGGGAGCAGATCCCCCTGCAAGTTGGGGCCCAGAACCTCTCACTCAGCGTGGAACTCACAGAAGCGAAATTGCACCACGGCTTTGGGGAGGCCGATGCCCTGCTCCAGGTGCTGCAGAGTGGGACAGGGGAGGCGCTTGCTGCTGATGAACCTGTGATATCCACCTGGAAGGAGCTCCATGCACGGTAAGGGCCCCCAGCCTGGAGTTGGGAGGGGAAAGGGTGGGCTGTGAGGAAAGAGAACCCCAGAAAGCTAATAGCTTGCTGTTTCCTCTGCCCTGGTTCATCTCTGGGATTTTCCAGGGGTCAGAGATAGCTCTTAAAGTGAAGGACATTCAGGGCCAGCTTCAGCGAATCATGTTTTGCCTCAGGCAAAAAAAAGCCATTGAGACCCTCAGGAGAGAGCGGGCTGAGCGACTTGGGAACTTCTGCCGGACGCGAAGCCTTAGCCCGCAGAAACAACTGAGCCTCCTGCCCAACAAAGAGCTCTTCGTCTGGGATCTTGACTTGCCCAGCCGACGCCGAGAATACCTGCAGCAACTGAGGAAGGATGTTGTGGAAACCACCAGGTAGGGTGGACCCAGAACCCTGCTGGAAGCAGGCTCTGTTGCGGGAGGGGAGTGTGGAGAGCAGGGGCTGAAGTTTTAGCATCCTGGAGGGTTCTCTATCTCAGACAGGGTATGTGGAAAGAGGACATAGAAGGGAATGGAGTGAGGGAGGGGTTGGGCAGAGAGAAGGCACAGGAAAGGATGGACAGAAGGGCTCTGACATGCTATGCAAGTCTGCAGGCCTGGGTGTCAAGGTGGCTTGGTTCTCTCTGTACAGCAACCTCTCCTGAGGCTAAAAAATCAAACTTTAAAACCCTGTGGGCAAATGGAGGATGGGTCTTTTAAGAAGGTGGTATCACCCAAGCTAGCCTTGGATGGACAGACCAGGACTGTTACCCACCCACCGTGTTCCTTCCACCCCGTGATCTTCCTCAGGAGCCCAGAGTCGGTGTCAAGGTCGGCTCAGCCACCCTCTGACATAGAGCTGATGCTGCGAGACTACCAGCAGGCCCATGAGGAGGCCAAGGAGGAGATTGCCCGGGCCCGAGACCAACTGCGGGAGCAGACTGAACAAGAGAAGCTGAGAATCCACCAGCAGATCGTTTCCCAGCTGTTGAGGGTGTGGAGTGGGGCAAGCCTCTGATTTCAGGATAGGCCTGGACCTCAGACTGGTCCACTTTCACCATGGCTACCTCTGAATCTTGGGACATGCATAACATTTGGAGGAGGCTGTGGGACACCTGTTGTCAACTCAAAGCCGGGCTCACTCTCTTTTTACATCGTCACACCAGCTCCTTTCCCTGGCCACGGCCTGGGAGAAAGGCTTTGGTGTGAAGTGCAGGGTATGGGGAAATATGAGCAGCGGTGGCTTTGAGGAAGCCAGGGCATGTGAGGCTGAGTCAGGGAGGCCCTGGGAGGTGGACAAAGGAGCAGTAGAGGTGAGCAGGGAAGGGGTGGCTTTGGGTAGGAGAGGGCATAGCCAGTGAGGGCACGTCAGAAGCTGGTAAATGGTGATTTGTCCTTCCCAGGAAGAGGATAAACTACATACCTTGGCCACCTCCAGCTCCCTGTGCACCAGCTCTAATGGAAGCCTCTCATCTGGTATGACCTCTGGCTATAATAGCAGCCCAGCCTTGTCAGGCCAGCTCCAGGCCCCAGAGAATGCGGTGAGTAGGCAGATGTTGGGAATGAGCCAGGGGCCCAGACTGCCAAGGCAAGAGTCTGGGTGGGATGCTGTGCCTCCTGCAGTCTGGGTGGGACGCTGTGCCTCCTAGAGGCCACTGCTGACATGAGCCCTTCTTATGTGCCGGCCTTTGGTTTTCCATTTAGTTTGCCCCTTGCCTCTTCTGTTTATTCATTCGTTCAACAAATGTTTATTCTGTGGGTATCGTTTTAGGATACAGCGGTGAGCAAAACTGTTCTTGTCCTTAGGCTGTTTGAGGGATAAATATTAAACAACTGATTTTATAGTTCAGTTATTGTTGCAGTAAATTGTTTGAAGGAGGGTTGCTAAACCAGCATAAAACCAGGGGTCTGACTTAGTCTGGAAGGTCACAGAGATATTCCGAAAACAATGTGTTTAGACTGAGACTAAAAGGATACGAGGTAGTTAATGCAGTAAAAGCTTAGTGGTGCTGTTATTGGGAAAGATGTGGGCCTAGCAAGTGAGGCCTTGAGGACGAAGAGTTTGAGGAACTAAATGAAGGTTAGTGTGGTTGGAATATAAAGAGTGAGACGGGAAAACAGCATGAGAAGGAACTAGAAAATCATGTGAACTATAATGAGAGTGCTGGCCCCTTTCTAATCCATTTCATTGTGTGACTTCCCAAAAGTGAAAAGGCTGCTGAGAGATGATTGCTTGCTTTAGGGCACTGCCAGTGAAGACGAACAGAGGTGGATGTAATGGAGAGAGAGACCTACGGGACTTGGTGACTAACGGTTGGGTGTTAGAGGAAGGTAGAGCGGGGAGTTGAGAACAGCACACACACTTTTGACTTGAGCAGCTGAAGGGCGGCCATGTGAACAATGACAAGGAACACTGGAGGGAGAACCAGGTTTTGTGTAGAAGATGATGAGTTTAGGTTTGTACTTACTGAGTTGACGGTGCCTGTGAGAAATCCAGGTGGAGCAGTTGGAAATCTACAGCTCGTCGGTAAGATCTGGCTGGGGATGAACATTTGAAATTCATTTTACAAATACAGTGTCATTTAATAAAAATAATATTTAAACAGTAGCAAAGGACATCCAATGTCAGGTGCATGTTTGAGTCTCCTATTTCCTTTCCCCAGAAGCAGTAATTTACCCCAGTTTGGTGTGTATTTCCAGGGATGATGTATATACGTCTTTTTGTAAAGCAGATGAATGGGAGTATACTGTACTCACTTTCTCACTTTGCTTTTTCTTTTAAAAATATCTTTGGGATATCATTGCATATCAGTAAATCTAGTGCTGACTTATTTTATTTTTTTAAGAGCCAGGGTTTTGCCATGTTGCCCAGGTTAGCCTCAAACTCCTGGGCACAAGCTGTTTTCCCAGCTCGACCTCCTAAAACGCTGGTATTACAGGTGTGAGCTACCGTGCCTGGCCTTCTTTTTAACAGCTGAATAGTGTTTCCTTTTTTCTCTTTTATTGCATGTTTTTAAGTTTGATGTTTTATATAGATAATATATTCATATAGTAGAAAGGGTACAAATATATACATATACAGGTTGAGCATCCCTAAGCCAAGTATCAGAAATTCAGGATACTCCAAAATCGAAAACTTTTTGAGCACTGTGACACCAGAAGTGGAAAATTCTACACCTGACCTCATGTGACAGGTTGAGTTGAAACACAGTCAAAACTTGATTTCATTCTCAAAATTATTTAAAACACTATATGAAATTACCTTCAGGCTGTGTGTATAAGGTATATATCCAACATAAATTTTGTATTTTGACACAGATCCTATCCCCCACATATCTCCTTATGTATATGCAAATATTCCAAAATCCAAAAACATTCAAAATCCAAAACACTTCTGGTCCCAAGCATTTTGGAGAAGGGGTACTCAGCCTGTAAAAGGGATACAGGGAAGTACCCGTCCCTGCTGTCAGTCTACCTCGTTCCTCTCCCTTACCCCACCCAAGGAAAGCAGTGTTGTTTCTTGGAAGGTGTCCTCCTAGGGGTCTTTATGCATACAAAATAAAGCATAGTATGCCACTGTCCTATACCTTATGTATCTTTTTCACTCAGTATAATTTGGAACTCTATTTGAATATGCAGAGAACTTTCTCATTTTTTTTCATTGCTGTGTAGCATTCCATTGTAGAGTTGCACCGTAATTTAACCAGTATTCTAACTTGGGTTGCTTTCAGACTTTTGCTGTTATCAGCAATAGTACAGTGAATAACTTTATGCATGTATCATTTTGTACATAAGCAAATATATCTGTGGGATACATTCCCAGAAGGGCACTTGTACAAAGAGTATATACATTTAAATTTTTGATAGAGACTATTTTCTCTCACAGATGAGCTGATTTATACTCCCACCAGTAATAGCTGAGAGTTTACCTTTTCCCACACTCTCACCAACATGTTATCAAATGTTTGGATTTTTTCTGAAAATTATATCTCATTTTTCTCATATGCTTAAATATTTTTATTTCCTTTTTCATGAACCATCTGTTCATATTCTTTGCTCATTTCTCTTTTTCTCTGACCAATTTCGAGAGTTCTTTGTATTTTAGCAAGAATAGCCCTTTGACTGATCTGAACTATAAGTGTTTGTTTCCCAGTGCTTCATTCTCTTTTGTCTTTGCTGATTTTGTTTGGGGCCATGCAGGCAGATATACTTGCCAGTTTTCCTTTTATGGTATCTAGGTTATAAATAATAACTAGAAACACATTCTTCAATCCAAAATTATAAATAATTTCTTCCATGGTTTCTTCTAGAACTTCTGTGGTTTTATTTTTTCATATTTAAATCTTTGTTCCTTTTGGAGTCATCTTCATATGAGGTCTGGATCTGATTGTGTTTTTTCCAGATGGCTGTCCAGTTGTTCCCGTAATGCTTGTTAGTTTATCTTTGCCTCACCTGTTTAAGGGGTCCCTTTTCCTTACACCAAAGCTTAGAATAGATTCTACCCAGCCGGGCGCAGTGGCTCACGCCTGTAACCCCAGCACTTTGGGAGGCCGAGGCGGGTGGATCACGAGGTCAGGAGATCGAGACCATCCTGGCTAACACGGTGAAACCCTGTCTCTACTAAAAATACAAAAAAAATTAGCCGGGTGTGGTGGCGGACGCCTGTAGTCCCAGCTACTCAGGAGGCTGAGGCAGGAGAATGGCGTGAACCCGGGAGGCGGAGCTTGCAGTGAGCCGAGATCGCACCACTGCACTCCAGCCTGGGTGACACAGCGAGACTCCATCTCAAAAAAAAAAAAAAAAATAGATTCTACCCTGTGTTAGTGTTAGTCTACCACTACCCTCATTGCACTTCTCTTTCTGAGTTTACCGGAGTATTCTTTCTTGTTTATTAAAAAAAATTGTCTTATTTTATTACAATTTACACATAATGTAAATATTTGTGAGGTACAGTGTGATGTTTCAATACACGTATACATTGCGTAATGATCAGATCAGGCAATTAGCACATCCATCACTTTAAACGTGTATCATTTCTTTGTGGTGATAACACAAAACCAAAGTTTAGAAAGGAAGTAAGAATAAGTTCTAAAATTACAACAGGGCGATTATTACCTAATAAACAATGTAATGTATATTTTCAAAGTTTGGCT